AAAATATGTGGGTTTCCGGTTTCCCGACCCTACCTAGCTTTTGGACGCCGAAATCCTGACCCTAAACTTTTTTTGAAAAATGGAAATTTGAGGCAATATTAGGGAAATTTATCTTTGAATGTGGAAGCACCGACTAAACAAAATGGCATCCGGTTGTTAGGAAAATTAAAAAACCCCGTTAAAACCGACCTACCCTGCTTAAGTTTTTACAAGAAAAAATAGGAAACCCACATATTTTTTTGGCCTTACGCAAAAAACAATAGAGACGACTTTTTTAATAGGTTCATGGGAGAACGGGACTGATCTTTTCGGGGAAGGGGGGGGGGGCAGTTGAAAGTTTGCCTGAATTATATTTTTATGGAGAATTGTAATGAAATAATCTGATTTTAACATATTTTCTGATAAATCTGCCCAAATTTTCTTGATTTTTCCTAGCATTTGCCCGAATTTTATGGGTTTTCAAAATTGGGGGGGGGACTCCCCCCCCCCTTGACTCGTACGCCTATGAATGGGTTAGTATTTTGTATAGGTACAATAGAGATGAATTTATGTACAGAAAACAATAAAGAGGACTTTCTGTATAGGTTAATAGTATTACGTTTCGCTTTTCACTACATGACCTAATAAACAATCCCTAAAATTAATGTTGCACGGAATGACGACTTTTAAATATGCAAATGTTAATGTATAAACACGTGTATTATTATTAAATATTTATAATAAACACAGAATATTTTTAATTTTCCGGCACAACAATTTGCATTAAAAATTGTTCCGTGTATAAACAATAGTCATCACCTTAAAGAATTTCACATAAACAATTGAATGATAGCAAATATACTAATAATCGCTTACCTTGTATGCATCTTAAAATGTTATTAGCACAATCCCGCAAAATATCTTTTGGGGACGCCATTTTGCCAAAATTGAAGCGCTAGATGGTTGTGTTTGTACAACCGCTGTTAAAAGTTCACGGGCCTTTGATCAAATCAAAGGTGTACAATCGTCAAATCAAAGGTGTACAATCATCAAATCAAAGGTGTACAATCATCAAATCAAAGGTGTACAATCATCAAATCAAAGGTGTACAATCGTCAAATCAAAGGTGTACAATCATCAAATCAAAGGTGTACAATCATCAAATCAAAGGTGTACGATCGTCAAATCAAAGGTGTACGATCGTCAAATCAAAGGTGTACGATCGTCAAATCAAAGGATCATTATCATATTAAATGTACACTGTAATCATATTAAACGTGTACAGTCATCATATTAAACGTGTACAGTCATCGTATTAAATGTGCACATGATCATCTATTAGACAAATCATCGATTTGTCCAATCTACCGCGCCATAATTGCATGGTCACCACCACATTGAAAAGAATTTGCATAATTCCTGACCGCGTAGCTCAGTTGAAAGAGCATTGGGCTAGTGTCCAAAGGTCGTAGGTTCGAATCCCACCGTGGCATATTTTTCAAGTTCGCCCGGTGTGGATATACACTCAATCACAAATATCATATTCACCTGAGTACACAACACCAACACAGAAAAAAAATCATATTACTAGAATACATTCGTATCAAAGGAACTAGATTCTGTTCCGAAATATCACTTACTCGAACCGTCCTGACCGCGTAGCTCAGTTGGAAGAGCATTGGGCTAGTATCCAAAGGTCGAAGGTTGTAATCCCACCGTGGCCGGGCATATTTTTCAAGCTCGCCCGGTGTGGATATACACTCAGAGTAACATCACAAATATCATATTCACCTGAGTACACAACACCAACACAGAAAAATATCATATTACTAGAATACATTGGTATCGAAGGAACTAGATTCTGTTCCGAAATATCACTTACTCGAACCGTCCTGACCGCGTAGCTCAGTTGGAAGAGCATTGGGCTAGTATCCAAAGGTCGTAGGTTCGCATCCCACCGTGGCATATTTTTCAAGCTTGCCCGGTGTGGATATACACTCAATCACAAATATCATATTCACCTGAGTACACAACACCAACACAGAAAAAAAATCATATTACTAGAATACATTCGTATCAAAGGAACTAGATTCTGTTCCGAAATATCACTTACTCGAACCGTCCTGACCGCATAGCTCAGTTGGAAGAGCATTCGGCTAGTATCCAAAGGTCGTAGGTTCGAATCAGAGCGTGGCCGGGCATATTTTTCAAGCTCGCCCGGTGTGGAAGTATCATATTCATCTGAGTACACACCACCAACACAGAAAAAAATCATATTACTAGAATACATTGGTATCGAAGGAACTAGATTCTGTTCCGAAATATCACTTACTCGAACCGTCCTGACCGCGTAGCTCAGTTGGAAGAGCATTCGGCTAGTATCCAAAGGTCGTACGTTCGAATCCCACCGTGGCCGGGCTTATTTTTCAAGCTCGCCCGGTGTGGATATACACTCAGAGTAACATCACAAATATCATATTCACCTGAGTACACAACACCAACACAGAAAAAAATCATATTACTAGAATACATTGGTATCGATGAAACTAGATTCTGTTCCGAAATATCACTTACTCGAACCGTCCTGACCGCGTAGCTCAGTTGGAAGAGCATTGGGGTAGTATCCAAACGTCGTAGGTTCGAATCTCACCGTGGCCTATTTTTCAAGCTCGCCCGGTGTGGATATACACTCAGAGTAACATCACAAATATCATATTCACCTGAGTACACAACACCAACACAGAAAAAAAATCGTATTACTACATACATACATACATACATACACTTTATTTCAACTCGAATTTACAGAGTAGCTCAAACAATGAGCTAATATCTTCGAGCATACATTGAATAGAATACATGACCGCGTAGCTCAGTTGGAAGAGCATTGGGCTAGTATCCAAAGGTCGTAAGTTCGAATCCCACCGTGGCCGGGCATATTTTTCAAGCTCGCCCGGTGTGGATATACACTCAGAGTAACATCACAAATATCATTTAGAGAAGTTATAACGAAATTACTGTTGCATTTCAAGCACTTGTTATTATATGATATCCCCCCCTGCAACATCAATACACGTGCATAATACACGTGCTCTCATATCATAGAATATATATTATCATTTTAGAATGGCGGACATGGACGAGCGGTGACTTTTGAGCGGCGGTGTGAAATCGTGTAGACTAGAGTGTATTACAACTGAGGTTCATAGTATTATAGCACAGTGCTTTATCTATCAAAGATACGGAGCGATGTATACATGAATAGATGCCAGTGGATAGTTTTGATATAAAATTAAAAGTCAGCAGCTGAATTATATCAGCGAGCTTATTCTTGTATTGTTATATCGCTATACAACCCGCGGAAAGGAAAGACCGCTCGCAGTCTATACCATGCAGCTAGCTTATTCTTGCATTATTATATCGCGATAGAGCAAGGTTTACATGGCCCAATAAATAGTATACAAATAATGAATGTTTATGCATGAGTGCAATGGTAAGAATATTTTCATGAGGTGAAAGATGGAATGTTCCATTCAACGAGGCGACAGCCGAGTTGAATGGAACATTCCATCTTTCACCGAATGAAAATATTCTTACCATGGCACGAAGAAACATTCGTTATTTGTTTTATATAATACCAAAAGTCCAAAACAGACTAATAGATTCGTATGAGAAGCATTTTGAGGGATGCGTTTTATCGAAAACACACAGAGTGCAATGGAACGCGTTCCATTGCACTCTTGGGAAATGGAATTTTCTATTCAATATCACGTGACCATAAACAGCCAATTAAACGATTAGAATTTAATAAGGTATTATATAATAAATAATAAAGTAAGATTGAAATTTTGCTCCAGAGGTAACATGCCAGCCAAACCGGCGAGAGCCAGCTACTGAACTATAAATGTCTGTATAATAATAAACTATCGAGTGTTTGCGGTGAAGTATAATATTTTTAATAGCAGAAATTTCTGTACTCGGTGACAGCGTAATCGGTAGTCAGTAATGTCAGTTCGTAATTTTTCCGAGACGTTTTGTAAAATCAGTCATTCCAAGCTTTTATCAAACTTTTGGTATTTCTCACTTTAATATGCAGTTATGGCAATTTCATTGATAAATTGTAAAATATTCTATTGGCATGTACTAAAAGGCGAAACGTCTATCTACGCAGAATATTCATCATACTGTAGCTAGCATGCCCAACCCAGACTATATTCGACAAAGTATATAAGTGAGAGTGCTGTGTTATTTGACAAAGAAGTTACGCAAGCAAGTGTCAACACAAATACAAAGTTGTAAATTCGGGTTGACTGACTTTTAATGGCTAACGCGCCACCAGTAGATCTTTCAACCTACGAATTTGATCCTTGTTTCCCTTGCCCACTGGAAGAGCAGCCAGAGACCACGTTATAAAAAAAGGACCATGCCAGCCAACCGACGTAGATTATCCAAAAGACAGATTTAATCGAAAATTTCTCTCATCGTGCATGAGTATTCAACGTCATCTGATATAGCGTTTTGTTTCTACTGCCGAGTTTTCAACGGACAGGTATATAACACATCGTATATATAGAGTAAACACGTCTGGCGATATTTGCATTTGAAACAACTGATCGTTAGAGTCAATGATAAAAGATAATTATTTTGTATATTATACAACCTCTAAAACTATTATATCATTTATTTATTTGTAGGTCTCGTTCAAAGGAGAGCCCGCATTCATCAAAACTGGATTTAATAACTAGAAGAAAAGTGGGTCTTTTAAGAAACACAAAAGTTCCGAGTGCCACAAGAACTCGCTCCAGTCGTTTTGCATTTGGAAAAACCACAAACCGGTAGATCACCAACTTAGCGAAGATGCCGAGAGACAAGAGTCTTACCGTCAGCTAAAAGTATGTTTTTCAAGTCAATGTTCTTTTTGCCTTGCTGTATTGTATATTGAACCAACCAATATTCGAATTCCTCTGAATCTGTACATGTCTGCATTCCTATCTAATGTTGCTTTGTATTTTTAGGTTAAGAAAAATCGGACTATAATTGGAAAAATACTGGGTGTTGTTCGATTGCTGGGGAGACTTAATTTACCCTTCAGAGGCCATCGGGAAGGCGAATGTTCACTAAACAAGGGCGTATTTAAAGAATTTATTGAGCATATGGCAACGGTTGATCCTCTTATGGAAGATCATCTTAAAAACTGCGCAGGTAAACTAATATTTTTTTGCTCACAGCTGGCGACTTTGTATATGTACTGAATTTTGACTAATTGTCTTTTTACATAATTAACTTGCAAAAACTTTACGATCTGATTTGAACTAGGCTTGTGTCTACGTTTATATAAATCTTTTCAAAATACACGACCTTACGACTATGCATCATTATTTAGATCACGCTACATATCTCAGTCCTGATATCCAGAATAAGATGATAGCGGTAATTGGTTCAGCCACATCCAAAGAAATTATACAACGTGTTAAAGAAGCTACGTTCTTTGCAATCATTGCAGATGAAACACCCGACAGTGGAAAGATAGAACAGCTGATATCCGCGACAAGCTGGAAAATTGTGGAATAGCGATCAGTAATCTGCGAGGTCAATGTTACAATGGTGCAAGCAATGTTTTGGGGATCTACACTGGTTTGCAAGCATGTACAAAAGAGCTTTCGTCGTCTGCACTATATACACATTGTTACGCCCATGTTTTAAACTTGGTTATTGTGGACACCATGACCAAGAACAAAACAGCCAGGGACTTTTTCGGAACATTGCAAAATTTGTATGTCTTCATCGAGACTTGCACGAAACGACATGCATTATATACAAAAAACCAAACTCTAAGAAACAAGAAAGATAAAGATGGAAAACAGCGCGAGTACTTCTTCAAAAAGTTATCAGATACACGATGGGCATGCAGAGCAGACAGCATTAAAGCAATTCACCATACTTTAGAAGCAGTACTCGACACGCTGGAGAATATCAAGGACAACGAAACCAAAGCAAATATTGCTGCAGAAGCTAAAGGACTGTTCAACAACATTGATTTTCAGTTTGTTCTGGCTTTAGAGGTAAAGTATGTGGAAAATGCTTTCAAACTTTAATTTCAATTATATTTTCAGACGCAGAGACATTATGTTTTCAGTTTTCACTCTATTAATCTGAAGGTATTCTTTTTTACAAAGGTTCTTAAAAAGGTCATGCATCTCAGCAAAGGAGTTTCTGATAAACTACAGTCGGAGGATTTGGACGTTGTGACTGGTTGTGAGAGAGTTGCTGATTTACTGACCACATTAAGGGGCCTTCGATGTGAAAAGGAGTTTGATGCATTCTGGGCCAACAGTCTCACAAGATGCCACGATTTAAATATACCGGAACCAAAAGAAATTCGTCCCCACAAGCTTCCTCGGAGAATTGATGACAACCCTGACACAGCTGGACAGCTTCTCCCAAAGGGATAAGTTCAGAGTCACCTTTTACTATAACGTAAGCTAACTTGTTTTATTTCTGAATCAATACGTTTATGCCAAACCACTTTAAAGATCGATGAAGTTGATTTTCACAGAAATTGCATTATTCGTGCATAATTAGTGGAAATGTTTCAGAAGTTTTGCATGAAAAAAATATTTCGACATTTTATAACAATCATACGTCATGGTGTTTTATCTTTCTTTGCTAGATTCTGGATCTCATGATTAGCTCGATCGAAAGTAGATTCGACAAACATAGTGCATCAATTTTGAAGGGACTTGGATACTTAGAGCCATCACGTGTAGGAAGTTCTGATGCATGGACCAATATTTCTTTGGCAGTTGATTGGTTTAGAGCTGACTTGGATGTCGACGCCCTTGAGATCGAATTCCTTTCACTGCAGATGTCTACGCTCCTAACTAATGTTCTAGACAAGGCGAAATCGGAAGAGAGAGTTGTACCGAGTGCTTCGACATGAACCAGAGTGCTACGGCCAGGTTCTAGCACTTATGAAAATTGCACTAACACTGCCACTCACGTTTTCGAGCGCAGAAAGGGCATTTTCGAAGCTCAAGCTCATTAAATCTCGACTTAGGTCCACAATGGGACAGGAAAGGCTTCAAAGTCTGATGCTTATGTCTGTAGAGTCTGATGTATTACAGGAACTAGATGTAGATAATCTCGTAGAAACTTTCGCAGGCATGGCACAGAGAAGACTTGATTTAGTTTAAGTACCATATTATTTGTTGTGCTGCTTGTGCATGTAAATACCAATTATATATTGTATACTTGCAAATTATGCTTATGCATGTGTCAACTACAAATTGTAATGCTGTTTATGCGAGTATATCGACTATATGTCAGTTTTGGCTACTATAAAATTACAACTCGACAATTTGAATGGCACTGTTTGAAAAATATGATCCTCGACCTAGTTCAAGTTCAAACGTCAAATGCACATAAACCTAACTCAATTGTCAAGAATGTTTTCCGTAATTTAACCTAATTTGCATTGATTTTGGTTCATGTGAAGTTCCAGGTTTGAACTTGGCCTGCAACTTTTTGATGCGTCAAATTTGAAACAACAAAACTTTGCTATTTATGGCGATCAGTTATTTTTTTAAATCTCGCCTCAGAATGCGGAAAATGCAGTCCGAGAGATTCTAGAATTAAAAAAAACAGAACCCAAACACAGAACCCTGGCTATGCCACTGAGGGTGATAAAATGCTGCACTTTGCATATTTCATTTGTATTTTTATTTTAAAGTGCCACTGTGATGGAAAATTGTGCTGACTTTTTATTGTATATTCAGAAAGTATATCAGTAGATAAACAAAATTACCAAATATCAGCATCCATTTCTTTCTGCCTTTTTTTTTTCAATGCAAACATGCAAATTTTTCGGCCGCCATTACTGAGCTATCAATTAGCGAGATGTCGATTTCTTAGCCGGATGTGACGTCATTTACTCAACAGCTTCTTTCCCGAAGGAGAAATTAATATTATCAAAGGCTTATACTAGGCTGTTTTTTTGTTCAAAATTATGTCTTCTGACGAAAGCCACAGCTCAAATTTTGCAACACAATCATCTTGCGAACTCTCTTTTGCCAAAAATTTTCTTGTGATAGCCGGGGTGATGTAAATATGGAGAAAAGTGTGGATTTGTGCGAGGTTATGATACAGTACTTCAGTCGAAGCTCTTGCCACTGAAGAAACATAATACATGAACAGTACTATAACTGAGAGAGAGCAAGAGCAGCAAACACTGTCTGCTAGATTGTCTGGGAAAACCTCAAATGACACCTGGTACATTTGGATTGTATTTATTTACGTTTTGGTTATATTTGTGACATAAAACAAACTTGTGATGGCCATGTAAAACAAAACAAATGGTTGTCACCTCCGTTATATTGCACAAAACGTCTTCAATGAGAGATGGCTTAAAGATGACTGTGTTGCCAAATTCTACTCACATAAGAAAAAACATATTAATTTGCACAAAGTTGTGGGAAATATATTTCAATTATATATACTTCAATAGTATATTGGTCCATAGGTGTAAATGTGGTAACTGTGTCCTGGCTTATTGTTGTTTATGTGAACCTTGTGGGGTATGGCTATTTCCTGGAACTATGCAATTTGACTGAGTCATGTATAAGTAATTTTTGGCATATCAAGCATTCCCTCAAAAGGCAACCCCTAGATATATTTGCATGTTTTTCTTTATTAATGATTACCAGGTAGGTGGGCGAGAAAAAGAGCACTCCCTACTCTGGCGATGAGTGGTAAGAAATTCTCATCAGCCAGGGGCAGCCAAACTGATACAATGTTATGATCCAAGTTCATATTTTGAATTTAGTAATGTTTGAATCCCTGTAAAGATAAGCAAGGTACTGAAATATCCCATCATGTGAATAAGAAAACTTGAAAGGCCTATAGCTAAGTTATAAGTAAGCCAAACAAGGATCTTGTATTATGAATCCTGGTGTTTTTGTGCAGAACACAGCTCACAAATGACATCAGAGTTTTTGGATTACAAAATTTTAAAGCTGTCATGTAAATATACTAGAAAATACATGCATGCAGAAACCCTCGCCTTGCTGACAAAACCATTTTATTTTCCGAACATGAAGTATTTTAAGTAGTTGTCATGGTAACACGATAATTTTTTAAGAATATTTTTACAAATGAAAAATCCCCTATAAATATCACTTTTAATTACAAGATTATCAATTTCCTAAACATATATATGTTAGGTATGTTATTATACGTAATATAAGCTTGAATTTAATGTAAAATTCAACCACAAACGCTTCGCAAAATGTTTTAAAATGTTCTTTTACTATAGAACTAAACTGCCTTTATCGATAAACTTTGAGTTCGACATAAAATGATTCCAAATTCTCCCATGCAAATAACTTTGCTCAGTATAATAAAAAGTGTAATCAATAAAGAAACACTGAAATAATACGCTGTCTTGTTTCATATTTATACACAACAATCGGCTTTTAAAGTAATTACAGTAGGTATTTTATTATACGTAATATAAACTTCAATTTAAGGTAAAATTCAACCACAAACGCTTCGCAAAACGTTTTAAAATGTTCTTTTACTATAGAACTAAACTGCCTTTATCGATAAACTTTGAGTTCGAAATAAAATGATTCCAAATTCTCCCATGTAAATAACTTTGCTTAGTATAATAAAAAGTGTAATCAATAAAGAAACACTGAAATAATACGCTGTCTTGTTTCATATTTTATATACGCAACGATCGGCTTTTAAAGTAATTAAAGCCGAGATTACAGTATATTAAAAGCAAACAATGCATCAATATTTAAAACAAACTTACCTTCGTTAACGTCGGCACCTTTACTTCCTTCTTTTAGCAATCCTCTTGCCTTTATTTCATCAAAAATCCTTGGCAATTTACAAAATCTTGCAAAAATGAAATATATTTGCAAGAAATCATCAAATCAATTTCGCTGTCGTCAATCGTCATGCAACCGTTATAATGCCAATTTTAAATTGGACCAATCAGTGTTGGCTATTCATTACAGTCCGCTATATTATGAGATCAGTGAGGATGACCACCCACCAAAACACGCACAGTGACCCACGCCCGTGATATTTGATGAACTTTAGACTTCGCTAATGCTTCCTTTCCCCGGGTGTAAATAGCCGGGGGGAATTAGTACCCTCGCACGGCTCGGGGATAAATTTTCTTTTTGAAAGGTTTCTTAGGGCAGTTGCATATCAGCAAGTAGTGAAGCTTGTGTGCGGCAATACCAGCAGTTCAAGAAGGTACCCAGGGGCGGATCTAGGGGTCGTCAAATCAGTCGTGTGACTGAAGTAAAAATTGCCTACTTAAAAAAAATTTTACTCCAGCTATCTATAGTGGCCAGTAAATCGAGTTACTAAAATTTTGAATCGTACCGGTAGTCCAGTTATACGTTTCATGCTGCGGCAGAGCTTCGGCAAAGTAATGTTAGTCAGTCACGAACAGCGGTCTTACGCATGAAAGTTGACGGATTCGGGGGTCAAATCCGGCTATCTGATTGGATGACACGCTCATTTCCATGGTTACGGCCATTTGCAACGGATCTGTGGGGAGGCCTGACGGATTTGCAGGTTCAGGGGCTCTGTATGAGCCTTCTGATTGAACCATTTAAAAATATTCTGCACTGTCATTGGCTTATATTTTCGATGGGATTCGCAGCGTGAGGTATTCGTCAACACCGCATTAGTGTTTACCTCTGAGTGTTTACTATTTCGAACGTTTACTATTACGAGCGATTTCTACCAGCGATATCTGTAAACATTTTCGACAATGTTCAGTTTGCGATTGCGGCAAACAATTTGGAATCTCTATACAACATTTGTAT